GCGGGGTCCTCTGCCGCCCCGCGCGCCCATGTACGCCTTCTACTCGCTTCTCATCTACATTTTCTACAGCCTATTCCGCAGGGATGGAGGTGCTACGGCGACCACCGACCCTGGGGACCCCGCCCAGGTGAGCAGTGTGGGCCTGCAGCGCCGGTCGCCCCCCACCAGGAGATGGGGTAGTGGTAGGCCTGCCCAGCTTACATCCTCAGGACGCTGGCCCTGAGGGACGCGGCGGTGCAGAGGACCCTTCTCTTGGTCCGGGCATTGGGAGCTTGGATCTCGGCCCTAACCATTCTGGCCCAGTTCCGGGAGGGAAGGAGCCCCACAGGCTGCCTGCCTCCTCCTCAGGGACGCCCTCTGCTCCCTTCCTAGAGAGTCCACTGCAAGCCCAGGGGTCGCCGTCGCCCCGACCAGCTTTCGCCAGAACTGTGGACCGAGCTGACAGGCCTGGCCGGTAAGTGCAGGCCGGAGCGCCTCGGGGTCCTGGAGGGATCCTCGTGGTCTGACAGAGGGAGGGATGCCGTGACCTCATTGGGAGGGAAAAAAGGTCCAGTCTCCAACGATGACTTGAAATGCCTCCTCCTTCTACTACCTGGCCTAGCGGGCAGCTCCGAGTCTGAGGATGGGCCTGAAGGGGGAGCAGAGGACCGCCCAGCCGAGGTGTCCCTGGAAGAGGCGCTTATGCGCCTTGCTGAGTTCCTCTCGGTCCACTTGGGGGCAGAAGAGAGCTGCGGGAATCCTGAGTTGGGCAAGGTGAGCAGGGCAGAGGAGCTCTCCAGCAATCACTTCTCTTTCTTTAGCCCTTGTGACTCCCACAGTCCTGCTCCATTCCATCTCTGCTCTTAATCTGCTTTCCTTGGTCCAGGGGACTGAATCTAGGACTCTCCATGGATTAGCTACATCCCTGCTTTTTGTTTGTTTGTTTGTTTTGAGACAGGGTCTTGCTAAACTGCTGAGGTGAGCTTCAAACTTGCCATTCTGCCTCAGCCTACCCAGTATCTTGGGTTACAGATGTGGGCCACCATTCCAGGTTTCTTGCTCTGATTTTTATCTCCTCACAGCCTGGGGAGGTTCCTCCACTGTTGACAGTGACCAGTCAGCTCTTGGCTCTTCTGGCATGGATTCGGAGCCCCAGGGGGAGGCAGGTCCTGCTCCAGGGGACTCATCCAGCCTCCAACGTGCAACCCCCAATTCCAGATGGTTTGTAAAGGGTATCTTCTGTAGAGGAAGGGAATCCCATTAGAATCTAGGAGGCGTGCAATTTGGGATCCCTAGCCCAGCTTTGCTTCCCAGAATTCAGGCCACCTCAGTACTAACTGAGCTCGCCCCTCTCCAGGAGCCCTTTCTCAAGAAGACAGCCCTTACCAGCCTACCCCCATCCAAGGGGAGGTGCCAAGGGGTGAGGCCCAGGGGCAACAGTTGCCTCAATTGGAGGAGGAGCAGAGGGCTTGGCAGAGGCTGGAACAGCTCATCCTTGGACAGGTGAGGGGCCCAGAAGCAGCAGGGACTGGAGGGGGTGAGACACAAAAAAGGAGTTTCATCCCACTCTTCTGCAGCTGGAAGAACTGAGGCAACAGCTGGAGCAACAGGAGGAGGAGCTGGGCAGACTGCGCCTGGGAGTGGTGAGGCTGTTGGAGCAGGGGCTGGGAGAGGGCAAGAGGTTGCAGGACTTTCATATGGTTCCTAAGTGCAACTATCTCTGCCAGGGGGCAACAGACTCAGAGAAAAGGGTTCAGCATCTCACACTGGAGAATGAGGCCCTGAAACAGAGCCTGAGCCTCACTCGGGACCTCCTGCTGCATTGGGGCCCAGGTCCCCCCACCAGAGCCCCACAGGTATCCTGCTTCTTTGTTGCTCCTCTTTGTATACACCTGGCATCAGCAACAGTGCCCAAGCCTCCTTAGGTCTTTGAGTTTGCTGAAGCAGTGGGCTTTATCAGGGGGTTGTCTTAACAGGCAGGTCCTGGGGTGGTCTATGCAGAGCAAGCCCATCAGGGAGGCTGATGCACCTGGGAGAACCCCCACTTCATAATTCTCTGAGTGACCAGTTCTAGGAAAGTAGAGGGACTAGGGAAAGGAGTTCTGCCTGGAGTTGGGAGGCATGGGTTTGTCTGTGCCTGCCACTCTTGACTTGTTTTTCCATCTGTGAAATGGATCATGGAATGCCTCTCCCTGAGTTCACACCTGACTTGATGGCCTACCTGGCTCCCAATTCCTGCAGGAGGAGGCAGAGGCACTGTTGGAGCTCCAGGGCCGGCTTCAGGAGGCCCAGGACACTACAGAAGCCTTACGAGTCCAGGTGGGCTCGGGGCCCAGGGACAAGGAGGGCTGGGACACTGGGAAGGGGGCATCTGGGACAGGGCCTGGTAAGTGCCTGTTTCCTTAGTGACAGGGGTGGGGTTCGGTGGGGCAGCTGGGGGTGCAGGAGGTGCAGCTGCAGGGCCTTCGAGGGGCCCTTCAGCAGCTTCAGCAGGAGACGGAGCAGAACTGCAGACGGGAACTACAACAGGTGCATGGGCAACTGGCAGGTAAGGTTTGGGAGCACGTGGCTCATGGAAGGCCCTGGGTTCTGGGCTTTCCCTCTCAACTATTTTCCCACTTCAGGACTCCGGACCCGGATGGCCAGCCTGCGCCAGGGCTGTGGTGACCTCAGAGGACTGGTCAGCACCTTTACCCAGAGCTGTCAGGGTTCGCTGAGTGAGGCCCAGGGCCAGGTCAGGAACCCTCTTCTCTTCACACCATCTGTCTGTCTGGGTAGCCTGTTCACTGTTCTTCCAGGGGAGTTCCTATTATTTCTAGAGCTTCCTGGCTCTAAGGAATGCTCATATTTGGGGGTCAGTTGTAGGCTCTTAGACTAGAAGACCTTATTTGTGACTTATGATCTCATGTCTATCCTGTGCAAACTGACAGTTGCTGAGAAGCCTAGAAGGATAGATATGATGTCCTTGTCAGGTCAACCAAAGGATGTCCCCAGGTACCAGAGCCACTGAAAGTTGTGAATCACTACAGCTGGGGGCTACAAGGGCTCTTTATTGCTCCCAGCATTCCACTCTGCTTGGAGACTCTGGGACACCTGTCTTTGTCATCCTCAAATCCATGTTCCCTCAGGTATCCTGGGCCCTGGGGGCATTGTCAGCTGGAGGGGCTGGGACTCAGCTCCCTGAGGGGCAACAGGGGCCCCCAACTGGATGCCCAGGGCGGCTGCTGGAGCTTAAGGGTATGGCAAACTTGGGGAGCAGAGCGGCAGGGAGGGCAGGCTGGAGAGAGTGGAAGCTTTTTATGCCTCAGTGGTGAAAAGGCAATCTGCTGACCTAATCCCCACTGCAGGGAATATTCGGGTGCTATGTCGGCTGAGGCCAGGTACACCCTGCGGCCTGGTGAGTGTGGAGGCTGGACCAGGGGGCACAGTCACCACCTGCTATCGAGGGCGCCAGCGTCGTTTCCACCTGGACTGGGTCTTCTCTCCAGATGCCAGCCAGGAGGAGGTGACAGCCACCCTTGCACCTATTCTGACCCTTCCTCAGAGTCTCCCAGAGTCCAGAAAAAGCTCCTTTCCCCTTCCAGTCTGTCCACCTATAGAAGGGAGGGTGAATCAGTTTTAGCCTAAAAGGGAAGGGAGCATCAGGAGGGTTGGGGAGTGGCAGCCCAGCTGGACACTAAGGAAAATGAACCTATCTGAGGTTTACAGTTACTGCTCATGTAGAACTGGCCACAGAGTACAGCTGGGTGCCACAGGTAGGAACAGTGCCATGACCCACAAGTGATGCCTCCTCTAAGGCTTCCATGAGAGATTACTGCTCCTTCCAGGGGTCCAGGCTCTTCCCAGCTGGGATTGCATTAGCCCTCCTTACTTTGTGGCTCTAATGCAGGTTGGGGGCCATGGGTGAGCAGCCCCAGCACTTCCCGACTCCCTTGCTCAGATCCCATTTTTTCTCCTCTTTTTTTTTTCTTCTGCCAGACACTAGTAGAAAAGCAGAGCTCAAGTCCCAGCCTGCCATCACTTTTCTAATACACAGTTTCCATCTACATATAAACTTTGCTCCTGGAGCTTCTATAACTGAAATGGAGGCTCGGAGCTGGGAGAGGGTTAGGTAAGGGACAGGGCTGGCAGTGATGCACACCCAGGTCGCCTGCTGGCCTGATAGGGTCATTGCACTGTGATCAAGAACCTCACCTGTGTCTCTTATTTCTGCACCACCACCTGCCGTGCCTCCTTTGTCCAATCGTGGACGCTTATCCCCCTTACTGGCAATTTTAGATTATGGCTTCATGGCCATTAGCCAAGACTTTAAGCAGAGGTGACAACCACCCAGTTACCAGCAACCTTCTATAGTGAAAGTTGGTTATGTCATTGCTCAAAAGGCCACTCTTTGTTGGTCATGGTGGTGCACATCTGTAATACCAGCTACTCAGGAGGGTGAGGCAGGAGGATTTTCAAGTTTAAGGTCAACTTGGACAACTTAGTGAGACCTTATCTCAGAATGAAAAATAATAAGAGCTGAGATGTAGCTCAGCTCTCTGGTAGAGAACTCCTGGGTTCAATCCCCAATACTACAAAAACAAAGCAAAAAATGAAAGCAACTATTATGTCTACCCATCTGCCCCTCAGTCACCTCTTTGCTCCCCTCAGGGCCAAGGTTCCAGTAGTCCTGGCTGGCTACTACCCTCCATACCCCCAGAGCCTTTTCTGGTCTCATCCTTCTCAACTTTGTGTGCCAAGTGCTGCTCTGGACCGCCTGGACACTGCCCACTAAGCCTCAAGACAGGTGCCATAGAGAGAAACAACACAGAAGAGCCACAAAGAATGAGTAATTTGCTTCCAATCACATCTAGGATTGGGATCAGGAAGTCAAGCTCCAGCACCTGGACCCTTGACCACTGCTCCGCAGGACCACCTAAATGGTCATCAGGACTCCACATTATTTGCACAGGCTGTTCCCTTTTTGTCACGTCTCTTTCCTTCTTTGCCTCACCCATTATTGCAAATACCACCTTTTCTAGGGAGGCAGAAGGTATCTTCTGGGCAGCCCCCTGTGCTCCCCTGGAGGCGTCTCTCTAGCGAATTGTGTTCTATTCAAACTTTTCACTGTGCTTTCCACCTTTCAAGGTCCTAAACAGAGACCTTGGAAAGGGCTCAGGACACTTTTTCCACCTCTCTTTCATTAAGGTCTTTGGAGAGCTGGAACCAGCTGTGCTGTCCTGCCTCCAAGGATACAGTGTCTGCATCTTCACCTATGGCCAGACTGGGACTGGAAAGACATACAGCATGGAGGTGGGGTGGAGCTCACACCTGGGGGTGGGGGGAGGCCTTAGAGGCTTGAATGTGAGCCCAATGGGGTATTCCACACCACCTTCAGGGCCCACCTGAGGACCCAGGCATAGCTCCCAGGGCGCTGCAGTCACTGTTCAGGGAAATGGGGACTGGAGGGCAGCACCGTGTGACCCTCAGCATGGTGGAGATCTACAATGAGGCAGTCAGGTCAGGGCTGTGCTGAAGGGGTGGTTGGCTACTATTTGCCCTGGCCTAAGTCTCCTGCTACCCTTAGAATCCTGGAACCAAACTCTCCTGGTCTCCCCAGGGACCTCCTGGCCCCAGGACCTCCAGAGCGCCTAGCTGTGAGGCAGGGCCCAGCAGGACAGGGGGGAATCCAAGTAGCTGGCCTCACCCACTGGGACGTGCCCAACCTGGAGACTTTGCACCAGGTAAAGATGCCCTCTAAGGCCCTTCCTTTTGCTCCCATCTGGGATTGGGGACTGTGTACCAGCCGCGCCTCATTGCTCCCAACAGATGTTGAGCCTGGGGAGAAGTAACCGGGCCACTGCTGCCACTTCCATGAACCCACGCAGCTCCCGATCCCATGCCCTCGTTACACTGACGCTGTGTGCAGCTTCTCCACCGAGCGCCCCAGGCACTGCAGGTAGCAAACACTGCAATGCCTGAGCTTTTGCAGGGTTTCCAGTGTGCCTGAAGCCTGGCTTCCCTTCATGTCGGGCTCGCTCACCTTTGCAGGCACGCTGCACCTGGTGGACCTGGCGGGATCTGAGCGTGCTTGGAAGGCGGGGGCTACTGGCACGCAGCGAGGAGATCCCAACAGTGCCCAGCGTCTGCGGGAGGCCCAGACTATCAACCGCTCACTGCTGGCGCTGGGAGGCGTGATGGCTGCTTTGCGTGCCCGCCGGTCCCACATACCCTTCCGCGACTCACAGCTCACACGTCTGTTGCAGCCTGCGCTTGGTCCGGGTACCACTGCTGTGCTGCTTCTACAGGTGTGCGCCCCGGCAGCAGCGGGTGGGGTGCAGGAGGGTCATTTGTGTGTGAAGCACCGCCGGCTGGCCCACAAGCACTTTTCCTCCTCAGATCTCTACGCGGCCAGAGGATATCGGGGAGACCGTCTGCTCGCTCAAGTTTGCGGAGCGAGTGGGTCAGGTGGAGCTGGGACCAGCCCGGCGCCGCAAGGCACCACGATCCGAGACCCCCTCCTCCCTCAGTACCGACACCCCACTTACTGGGACCCCCTGCACTCCTACCAGGTCTCCTGTCAGCCCTCCAAGCCCCAGCCCAGACAGCGGCTCATGCTCTGCCCTAGGGCCCTCAGGGGACCTTCCTCCCTAGTCTTGGGTGGAGGCCTTGCACAAGAGACCTGGGGATGTAACTCTGCTGGCAGAGGCAGCAGTACAGTTCCTATATCGGGTCTCCCAAGACAATCTTCTTGACTTCCGGGGGCCTACTTCTCTCCAAACTTCCAGAGTCGCTCCCCACAACCCCAGCCAGAGAAGAGCCTGGAGAATTGATTTTGCCCCACCCCACTGGGTCAGAGGCCCTCAGCTCCCTCCTTATCACCATTTGCCGTTATCACAGCACACAGCAGGGGATCCCAGAGCCACAGGAACCAGACATGACTCTGGCCAAGGAGTTTCCCAAGTCACCACCTCTGCTCCAAAAATAAGACTAGGCATTAAAATGCTGTAAATTCTTTTAATGTTACACCATTACCACCACTTCAAGTCTATGTAGGGTCCAGTCTTTATTCCCTAACCCTTTCCCCAAAAGGTGCTACCTCCCAGACAGTTGAGGGATGACAGGACTTCAGGCTGGACCCACCATTAGGCGCTCCCTCCCCCAGCCTGGAGCCAGGAGGGAGGTGACAGATGGTGATGGATGAATAGATACATGGGCTAGGCCTGAAGATAGAATCATGATTTGCTACTCCATGTTGAGTCCTGCTCCTTTAGCATTGCCCCTGGGTGTAGGGGGGAGGCAGAGAGGCAAGACTGACCAAGCCCAGGTTGGTGCCCAGCTGAGTGGCAGCTTTTTCTGGAGCAGCCCAATAAACATTGTGGACTCTCATTAAGCAAGGCTGGAGCCTGGTGTTAAGACTACAGACATCTTCCTACCTTGGTTTCCTATCAAGGAGGTGGGGAGAGAAGCAACCCCTGCTCTAGAAAGCTTCAGAGGCTGTACCAGGAGAGCAGCCAGCCTGGACCAGGGGCAGCCATGTCACGAGGGTGGCTGACCCACACATCATAGATGCTCTTGTTGGGTGGAACTCCCTGGAAGAGAGTGTCTAGATCCCAGAGCAGCCTTGGGGACCCTTGGGATTCAGAGGCCACCCCCCAGTAGGCTGGGCTGGTTGAAGGTGGACACCGGGGACAGGAAGTGGATGGTAGTGGGGCTAAAGGCATTACCACATTAGGTGTGTAGATGGGCAAGTAGGAGGTGGGCAACTGTCCCCACAGGGAGGCCCTGCATCCCCCACTGGACAGTACCCCAGCGTTGGAAGTACTTTGCAGGTAGTGCAAGGGCCAGGTTCTGGGCTCTGGGGATAAGCCTGAGGGCCCAATGATTGTCCCCTGGGAAGTCTCCCTCTCCATTCCTGTGGGCACTGGGAGAGGGCAGAGGGGCCACAGAAGCCTTTCAGAGGAGGCTAAGTGTGGAGTAGGTACCACTTCCTCCCCACTGCAGCCTGTGTCTGCCTGAGTTGGGTTGCTCTGTCCAGCCAGGCTGGACTTTTGGGGCCAGGGTGCTCTCTCTCCAGGGTCCCTTAACAGGGACTTGATGCTGAAGCCTTCGCTGGGTGGCGTATGGGGTGTGGGCGGCCGGTAGGTCTGGCCATGCAGCACATAAGGGCTCAGGTCCTTGGCGAATGCTCTGCGGGCCTCCGGGTTCTGCCAGCGTCGGCACAGGGCAGTGTTCTGTAGGCGTAGCGCTTCTGCCGGGATGAGGCTCACATCCACGGCCCAGAAGTTGCCCTTGGCCTGAGGTTTTGCAGGGTCCTTGGGCACCTGCGGGGTGGTAGGTTTGGGTGGGGCCGCCCAATCCGGATGCTTGGGGCTTACTCGCCCGCCCCGCCTCCCGGGCTCCGACCTTGAGGGCCCCACCTTTCGGAAGCACGGGTTGGAGGAAAGGTTGTGACGGATGGAGTCCTTCCAACCCTCGTAGTCATCCCTGAAGAAAGGGAACACGGCCTGGACCTGACGAATGATCTGAAACCGGGGGTTGACCGGCGCAGTGAGCTGAGGCAGGGGCAGCACCCCACCCCTCCCTCACAGCCCTGCTCAGGGGCACCCCCCTCAGAGGAAACTTATGCGCCAGAGGGAGACGCGGTGGGGAGGGTCCGAAAGAAAGGTCGCTTTGAGTCCCTTGGCTTCCATGACTGGTCCCACTGGCAGAGCTGGGTGGGCCAGGTTGGGGTGGAAGCCACACCTGAGAGTGAGAGAATTGGGGAGCCAGTCCGGGAAAAGGGCATGAGGAAGGCGGGGGAGCCTCTCACCTGGGCCAGCTTCAGCCTGCGGGAGGGTGCAGCCTGAATTACCAAGGCAATCATCGCCAAATAGGTGTAGGGGGGCTTGTCATGCCGCAGGTATCTTTTCTTTCTTCTCTTGGGGGGCTGTGAGGCTGGCTCTGGATCCTGGGGCCCCAGGCGGGAGTTGCTACAAGGCCCCATGCAGGGGAGTTTGTAGGCGTGGGTAGGGGCCTGGCCTCGTGGAAGGCTCAGGACTGTGGGGTAGTGTGGGGAGGCTGGGCCTGGGGCCTGAGGCCTGGCTAGGGCAGGCAGGCCGGGCCCTTTATCATTCGGATGGAAGGGGGAGGGGAGGAAGGAAAAGGCTGTGGGGGAGGGGAGTTGCAAGGGCTGCCACAATTAGCAGGTTTCAGTTAATCTGAAAGGGAGGGGCAGAGAGGATTCCAGTTCCGACTTCAGGTGACCTACTGAAGCCACAGTTCCCCATTCCCAGGTTGCCTCTGGAAGCTCGGCTTCACCCAGGAGCTTGAAGGAAAAGCCCTTAGGAGGAGGGTACCACCTCCTCCTTATTTTGTCTGCCTAGGGCAGGTCTCAGGCTCCCCTTTAACGGATAGGAATGGCTTCTTGTCCATGCCAGTTGCCAAGAAGGGACGGGTGTTCAAGATAAAGCTGCCAGTAGAACCTGGGTCCTATGGGCTGGACTTAAGGAACATGATCAGAAGCACTTCCTGAAGGGAAAGACTGTGAAGTCCCCATCCTAGGAGCAAAATGGGAAAGGGTACAGTGGACTTAAGTGATTTTTTCCCAGGAATGTGCTACAGAGTTCAGATGAGCTCCTTCTCCCTGGCTCTGCACCTGGGGCCAGTCAAAACCTGTGATCTGTACCCAGACCCAAAGCCCAGTTTCTTCTCCCTATACCAGGCAAGCTTGCCCCAGAGAGCTTCAGAGTCAGGGCACTAGCTGTAGTGCTTGGTGCTGATACCAAAGCCAAGGACCCCTAGACGTGCAGGAACCCTTTATTAGCATGCTAAATGGTTGACCTGCAGCATACAATGGGTATGAGGTGCCAAAGGCAAAAGACAGGAATCAAGAGTGCACTGGAGGAGGGACTGGGGCTGAGGTGGGAGATGAACGCGGGGCACCACACTGCTCCAGCCACCCTCTGGTTGTGCTCTTTCTCACTACCAGATTCTCCCTTCAGACAGCATCTGGCTTTCTCTAGACTCCTATCACCTTGGCACTCTCGGGGCTCTCTCCTCTCTTCAGTTCCAGGACTCTCACTGAGGGGTCCTTGTGTCTCAGAAGGGTAACACCTATGGACTCTTAGCTCTACTTGACAAGGACGTTCTCTCTGAAAGTCTGAGGGTGTTCTCCACTGGTCCTCCCTTGATGCCTCAACGGCGCATACCAAGGGCTCCTTCTAGCTGCTCTAGACACACACTTCTCTCTCTCTCTCCCCTGCCGTTTTGGCACAAGCTCTTCACTCCGCCCACGAAGGCTCTGATTTGAGGGATAGACTCCTACTACCCGTTCTTCAAAGCCTAGCACGAATAGACGACCACCTCTCCGGATCATTTGGCCACTTGACCTTCCCGCCCCACCCGAAATCAGGGGACGTTCGCGCCACCGCGGCGCCCACCAGCGCAGAGGAAAGGCGGTGCCAGCTGCGTGAACCCCCCGGGCCCCGCCTCGGGCAGCGTGACTCCACCCCCCGGCTCCCACGGGGCACTGCGACTTCCGCTCGGGACCTGGAAGACCGGAAGTGTCGCGTTGCCATGGCGAGGCCGGCGCGGGGCCCGCCCCCGCGGCGCCTGAAGGAGCGCGGGGCCGCCTGGCCCGCCGCGGGGCCGGACTGAATGCGCAGCCTGCGGGCCGAAGGTGACTCAGGGCGGCGCGGGGAGGGCGGCGAAGCTCGGGAGGGCCGGGGCGGAGGAGGCTGGCCGCTGCGGAGCGCCTCTGCGGCCCCGATCGGGCAGCGATTGCCCAGGGTCCGGAGAGGCTTCCGGAAGGGCCGCTCGCGGAGGCCACCAGTAGGCGTGTCCCATTTGTCCAAATGGCAGGTGTGGTTCTTGGAGCCTGCTGGTCATGTAGGCAGTACCTATCTAGGTCGTAATTTCAGATGTGGACATTAGGGCCACAGAAAAGAGACTTGTCCACTCTCGGTGCGAGCTTTGGAGTCAGGGGAAAGGAGAAATTGGAGCCACTCAGGGATTCAGGGGACCTCACTTGTAGGCGGGATTGTGGGCGACGCTTCGCGAATTGGGGTCAGGCATGAAGTACTAATCAACCCGTGAAAAGTGCTTCAGCTGATTTCGCCTCTGGCTGAACCAGACCGAAAGCTCGGGGCCTGGTGGGATTGATTTCCACCGTTTCAAAGAGAAGAGGTGTGTTTGGAGTTATCCCAGGCTCAAGGGAGCCAGAGCAAAACTAGCCCTCCTTTCTTCCTGGTCCTTGTTTGGGATGCAGGCGGAGGCCAGGGTACCACGTCGTTCTCTCAGGCTCAGCAGTGACACCTCCTGGGGGGTCTTTGCTCCCCAGGTGTTTCCTGGAAGGACTAGGGTTTTCCTGAAAGATTCCTCTTGTCTGTGGCAGTCTGGTATCCAAAGTCCCCACTGGACCAACTCGGGAATCTCCAGCATAAAACTGAGTGGTCTGAAAGGCTAGTGACTGCCCAAACCTGTACAAACCTTGGCTGCTCCGTGTTTGTCACTGTGATGGACAGCTTTGAGAGGCCAGCTGCCTGACCCTGTTCCAAGTCTCCCCATCACGTTCAGTGCTGTGATGGACAAGCTTTAAGGAGGTCCGTTTTTCTTCTGATACCTGGGCTGGGTTTCCCCCTATTAGCTGGGGCCCACCTCCTGTCTCTTGAATAGCCTTCCTGGCATCCTCCCTCACCAGCTCAGGGTATGCCTGAACTTTGCTTTCCACCGAGGGTTGTCTTGGTTGGCAGGCCCCAAGAGAGGGGGCTCTGTGTCTTTGGGCTCAACTTTGGGTTCTGTGTTTTAGGGATTTCTGAATCTCTGGTTTGTATCAATAGCTGGTTACTTGTATGTCTTTCCATTGCATGGAGCTTAGGAACTTCACTCTTAGGCATCCCAACAGACTGTTTCAGCCCCTAGATTCCACACCTGCTCAGCCCCATCCCAGTGCCTGTGCCACATCTACCCATTGGCCAAGAGAAGACATCTGGGTGGCAGTTGAAGGATCTTCTCTCACCTCTAGGCTTTCTTGGAACTACCTCCTTGATGTGCCTGGCACGTTGGTGTGCACAGCTGAGTGAACCTTTCCTTGTCCCATCCCGTGTCCCATACTGTTTGTACTCCCAGTGCTGGCACATGCAGTGGCTGTTCCCCTGTTTGTCCACCAGTTATTGAGTGCTTCCTGTAAGTCAGGCATTGGCTGAGCTCTGAGGATACAGCAGGGAAGCCAACAGTAAGCGGAATGTCAGAAATTTAAATGTGTTGACAATGAGGTGACCATAGAAGACTGCTGAGGAAGACATTAGACTTGACCTGAGATGCCAGAAGGAGCCACTGATCCTAAGATTTGGTAGGAGAACTTTCCAGATAGAAGCAATAGCTTCCATAAGGTGGGGTGAGGTTGACAGTAGGCAAGCCTATTCTGTAAATATCTCGGGTTTGACTTTGTCACCAAGCCACACCTCCAACTCCAATCCTTTTAAACTTTGTCCATGCTCATAGATGTGTGTGTCCTGGTAGTTCACGGTGGTTTTAATTTGTACTTTTCTAAGTTTGAAGGGTGTTGAGCATCTTTTCATGTGCTTTATTTGTATGTGGTGCTGAGAATTGAACCCAGTGCCTCACAAGTGTCAGGCAAGTGCTTTACCACTGAGCCACAGTCCCAGCTCCTTGGCTGTATATCTTATTTCATGAAGTGTCTGTTCAAATCTTTTGCCTGGAAAAATGGCTTGTAGGCCCCTTGTGTGGAGGTACATGCGTGTAATTCCAGTAATTCAGGAGGCTGAGGCAGTAGGATCAAAAGTTTGAAGCCAGTCGCAGTGGTGCACGCCTGTAATCCCAGCAACTCGGGGGGCTGAGGTAGGAGGATAAGAGTTCGAAGCCAGCCTCAGCAGATTAGCGAGGAACTCAGCAACTCAGCGAGACCCTGTCTCTAAATAAAATATATAAAAGGTCTGGGGATGTGGCTCAGTAGTTAAGTGCCCCTGGGTACCAAAAAGAGAAAAAAAAGTTTGAGGCCAGCCTGAGCAATTTAGTGAGACCTTGTCTCAAAATAAAAAAAAATAAAAAAGGGCTGGGAATGTAGAGCATGCCTGGGTTCAATCCCCAGTATGAGGTATGTAGGGGGAGAAATAATTAGAAAAATGATTTGTCTTAATAATTTTTTTTGGTGATACTACAGATTGAACTCAGGTCTTATACATGCTAGGCAAGCTCTCTGCCACTGAGCTGCAACCCCAGTCCATTTATTTTAAGACAGGATCTTAGTAAGTTGCTCAGGCTGGCCTTGAGCCACTTGTGTTTGTGGGACTACAGGTGGCTATTGGGCTACACTCTCAGCCCAGCTGGTTCCTAGTTTCCTTCCTTCTTTTCTTTTCCTTATTATTTTCTTTTACAGTACCGGGAATTGAACCCAGAGACATTCTACCCCTGAGCTGCATCCCCAGCCCTTGTTTTTTATTTTTATTTAAAAAATTTTTTTTGGTACTGGTGATTGAACCCAAGGGCACTCGAACACTGAGCTGCATCCCTAGCCCTATTTTTTTAAAACACTTAAACTTTTTTTTTTAATAGCTTTTTTTAAAATTTTTTTAATTTTTAATTTTTTTATTGGTTATTCAGAACATTACAAAGATTGCAGAATCACATCGGTTACACATCCACATTTTTACATAATGCCATAATTTTTTTATAGCTTTGTTTTATTTTACTTATGTGGTGCTGAGGATCAAACCTAGGGCCTTGCATGTGCGAGGTGAGCACTCTACCGCTGAGCCATAACCCCAGCCCCCCCAGCCCTATTTTGTATTTTATTTAAAGATAGGGTCTCACTGAGTTGCTTAGCACTTTGCTGTTGCTGAGGCTGGCTTTGAACTGGAGACCCTCCTGCCTCAGTCTCCCTAGCTACTGGGATTATAGGCAGGTGCCCCTGTGCCTGGCTGTCTTTACTCTTTTTTGTAGTACTTTTACTTGGGGTTTCTCTATGTTACCCAGGCTGGCCCTAAACTCCTGGGCTCAAAGTATCCTCTTGCCTCAGCCTCCCAAGCTGCTAGGATTACAGGCAAACACCACCATGCCTGGCCAGTGTCCCACCTTCTGCACCCCATAAAGAATGTTAGGGTTCAGAGGAATCTGCTTGTGTGCATGTCTGTCTCTGTCTCTGTATATGTGCATATACGTATATATGTGTGTGTGTGTGTGTGTGTGTGTGTATTTTAGTTGTTGATGGACCTTTGTTTATTAATTTATATGTGGTGCTGAAAATCAAACCCACTGCCTCACACATGCTAGGCAAGTGCTCTACCACTGAGCCACAGCCTCAGCCTGGAATCTGCTCTTGTACACATCACAGGTCCCCTTTGTCATGTTCCTGATTTTTTAAAACTTTGTCATCCTATGTATTGTGTTCCTCTATGATTTTTTTTCCCAGTGACCTTGGGGGCTATCGCTGCTCTGCCAGCCCCCACCTTTCTTCCATCCAGTTTATAGGAATTTGCTGAGGAATTGTGAACTGTCTTCCCTGGATGTCCCCCTTGTTCTTGCCTTGTTTGGATGGGGTCTCAGACAATGTGGGCATTGTCGGTCATCTAGACTCCACAGGTCTCCTGTTCTAAGGATTTGAATATCCCTGACTTCTGGGATATTCAAATGCCTCTTGTGTCCACAACTCCCAGGCCTGAACCATAAGCAGCAGCCCTGCTGCCAGATAGATGCTTGACTGCTGCCCTATCTTGACTAGGCTCATTCTCTGAGGGGGAGTAAGTTTTGAGCCAGAGCAAACCCAGGGTTATAACGCTGTCCCCTACAAAGCTCACTTTTGTGATTCTGGTTTCCTCACTGTTGTACTTGGGAGAGCTTAGTTTCTAGATCTATATAGTGCTGGTCATGGGGCATTAGAGCCCCAAGACTAAATGAGGCTGCTTAGTGGAGTGGTGCCTGTGGCCCTGGTTTCTACTAAGTTTATTTGCAGGGGCTGCTGGAAGTCTTCCCTGTCTTGTTCTCTTTCTGGGAATCTTGGCTTTTATCTTCAGTACTCATTGAGTCTCTTTTTAAATGTAGCTGTCTCTGGCTGCCTATCTGCTTTCATTTGGGCTTGTCTTCTGACACTTTTCTGTGAGTTTATTAGATGTGTTTTGGAGTCATGTGGCAAAAGGAAAGGAAAGTGAGAAGGGAGATTTAGAGCCTGCCCTGACTTCTGGGGAGAGCCCCCCACCCCAACTCCGGAGATTCTCCATTGCTGACAGATGCTGCTGCTAGAGCTCACAATTAGTCTGGTCAGACCCCCATGTGTTTCACGCATAGCTCTGCCCCCAGGCCAGAGTGGGCTAGGAGCATGGCCTGCATAGATGTATGGATGGCATGGGTCCTCCTTCCTCACAGGGTGGTCAGCAGGAAGTTGTTACTGAGCTAAATAACATTTCATTTTGTAGATCAAAAATAGCGGAAGCCCAGTGTGGTGGCTTAGCCTGTAATCCCAGCTACT